TATTATACACATTGCAAAACAAATTCAGTTATTGCTTCCAATGATCTTCATTGTACAGAGCAGGAAAGTGAGAAGTGGAGAGGGGATGTAAATTGCCCTGGATCATACAACTATTTGATGGCAGAGCGGGATTCTGAGCCACATAACTGGGCTCCGCAGCGTGTGTTCCTAACCACTGTGATATACTCCCTCTCATCTGTTGGTTGGGAAAAAATGATACTTGCTCATAGAGCTGTTGTGTTGCGAGGATGAGGTAAGATAAGGTATGAAAACCCTGCTCTTGTAACTGATGTATAGTGAGCATTCAGTAGTCACTGTGGCAGGTAGTATGATAACTTAATTTTTTTTTTTTTCCAGGCAGAGTTAGACAGTGAGAGAGAGAGACAGAGAGAGAGTTATAGACAGTGAGAGAGAGACAGAGAGAAAGGTCTTCCTTCTCTTGGTTCACTCCTCTAATGGCCACTATGGCCAGCACTATACTGATCCGAAGCCAGTAGCCGGGTGCCTCCTCCTGGTCTCACATGCAGGTGCAGGGCCCAAGCACTTGGGCCATCCTCCACTGCCTTCCCGGGCCACAACAGAGAGCTGGACTGGAAGAGGAGCAACCGGGACTAGAACCCAGGGTACTGGCGCTGCAGGTGGAGGATTAGCCAAGTGAGCCACAATGCCGGCCATATGATAACTTAAATAAAACATATACATTAGTTTTGTTTAAAATATAGTGTGCCTCATTTTGGTAAAAAGGGTGGAGATTCTATTATTGGGCTAAATTCTTGATGTAGCTGTGTGGCAAGACTGGCCTGCGAGAGATGCAGAAGTAAGAAGCAAGGGAATCAGGGATATATGATCCAGTGACAAAATCCAAATTGGAAACCAGACAACTAAAGGGTTCTGCATTAATGCTGATTCGATCCTGGGCATTCTAGAGCAGAACAAGGTTTAGACTAGATGGAAGGAGTTGGTGCTTTGAGCATTTCCCACAGCTCCTGAGCTTTCTGAATCCCTGGCCTTGGGCAGAGAGGGCTTTCTTGAGAGCCTTTGCCAGACTTGGCCTTGTAGCACATTCTTCAGGCCTTTGTTTTCAAATTCCCAAAATTAACAAGGAGAATGTGGTCCTTAGTATGTAATACTCAAAGGAATAAATAGGCTTGCATAACTGTTTACAGTTAGAGTAGCCAAGAATCTAAATCAGGGAAGTGCCTCTGGGGCCTTGACTTAAGCTGTTCCCCAGTCATTTCATCTATTTTCTCAGCCGCACATAAATGGGCCTTCCACTATTCTACCTACACACATCCTTCAAAGTCTAGCTCAAATGATATGATACTGTGTAGACCCCTGTTCACCTTATGCCTAGTAGTTGCCGCAAGTAAATTAGCAACTTAGAGAAAGGAAAGGTCCTTGTGAGGTGCAGTATTTGGAAGAAGCTTCAGCAGTTTGAATAAATAAGGATACATGTGGAGACATTCTTAGTTGGGAATATGGAAAAAGAGAGAGAGAGAGAGAGAGAGAGAGAGAGAGAGAGAGAGAGTGTTAGTATGGGAACCAGCAAAGGGAACAGATTTCTATATAGTAGTTTGGTTACATTTAAGTAGCGGGGTTGAGTCTAGGTCATAGGTGACCTTTCAAGCTAAGAGAGTTTGATCGGGATGGAAAAGGAGTTAGATAGATCAAGATTTGGTCATTATTCAAGAGCTAGTTCTTGCATGGAAGGGTGATTCTTGGAGAGAGCAGCCTACTCTGTTCCCAGGCCTGCCTGCCTTCTCTGGTTGGTTGATTGGTTTGTTAGAACCTCTTCTACATGCCCCAAATCTGCCCCTGATGCTGACTTCCTGCTAATGCACACACTGGGAGGCAGCAGTAATTATTTAAATAGTTGAGTCTCCCTGCCACCCACATGGGAGACCTAGATTGAGTTGCTGGCTCTTGGCTCTTGGCTTTGACTCAGCCTGCCCTAAGTTGTTGTGTGTGCTTGAGAAGTGAACCTGCAAATGGGAGCTCTGTCTGTGTTTCTTCCTGTCTAAATAAAATAAATATTTTTTCAAAGTATTTATTTGAGAGGCAAAGAGATAGAGACAAATAGAGGAACAGACCGAGAGAAGGAATGCCTCCCATCTGCTGGTATATTCCCCAAATGTCTCCAGTGGCCAAAAAGCTAAAATTGTGAGGTTGGAACTCAACTCAGGTCTGAGTGGAAGGAACCCAATTAACCTGCACTATCACCACTGCCTTCTAGGGTCTCTGTTAGCAGGAGGCTGGAGTCAGGAGCTGGGACTAGGTATAAACTCAGGCACTTTTATTTGGGATGTAGGGGTCTGAACCATTAGGCCAAATGCCTACCTCTGATTTCAGTTTTTGGTCAGAATACCATGTGAGGATGATACCAAACCAGCAATATTAGTAATAAAGAAATAATTCCAGGATGCTAGTGTTTTGGCACAGCAGGCACATCCCATATCCTGGCTACTCCACTTCCAATCCAACTGTGCTAATGTGCCTGGGAAGCAGCAGATGATGGGTCAAGTACTTGAGTCCCTGTCACCCACATGGGAGACATGGATGGAGTTCCTGGCTCCTGACTTCAGCTTAGCCCATCCCTGACTATTGTGGGCATTTGTAGAGTGATCCAATGCATGGAGGATCTCTTCCTTTCTCTCCTTCCCTGCTCTCCAACCCCTGCTTTTCAGTCTTTAAAAATATAGAAAGAATTATTCCATGAAACACAGGACATTTATCTTGATTTTTTAAAGAAATAAAATCCAGTGGTTGGGAAGTAATTTCAGTTTTCAAAAATGTAAAAGTGTGAGAAATTCACTTCAGTTGTGGAAAATTTCAAATGTAAATGTGTGTGTGTATAAGTACATGTGTATATATATATATAACTATATATATACATAAATACACACACAATCATATTTAAAAGTAGAAAGACTAATATAATAAATTGCTTCTTCCCATTACCCAGATTTTTTTTTTATTAGACAGAGTTAGTGAGAGAGAGAGACAGAGAAAATTCTTCCTTTTTCCATTGGTTCACTCCCCAAGTGGCTGCCACAGCCAGCGCATTGCGGCCAGCATGCTGCGCTGATCCGAAGCCAGGAGCCAGGTGCCTCCTCCTGGTCTCCCATGCGGGTGCAGGGCCCAAGGACCTGGGCCATCCTCCACTGCACTCCCGGGCCACAGAGGAGAGCTGGACTGGAAGAGGAGCAACCAGGACAGAATCCGGCGCCCCAACCGGTACTAGAACCCGGGGTGCGGGCGCTGCAGGCAGAGGATTAGCCTAGTGAGCCGTGGCGCCAGCCAATATGGATGTGTTCTTCTGTGTCCACGATGCTACCGACACATCCTGTGAATAATTCCTTATTGTTATCTAGTACCTAGCACATAACACATTTCCTCTGTTACTTTTTGACATTTGGTTTATTCATATCCAAATATAAACAGGGTTCACACAATGCATTTGATTGTTATGTTTTTGAATCTCTTTTGAGCTAGGGTTCATGTTTGTGATAGGTGGTTTTAGTGGCCAAGGGGGTGAGTGGGAAGAAACAGATTGAGGTGATGTGTTTTAAACGATATTGGAAGGAAGCTTGAAATCGCAGCCAACCGAGACTAGGGAGATTTGATTGTAGCCTATATGGCTGAAATATTTGCTAGGTTCTTAGCAAACTCTTAATGAATCCTTTAAAGTAGTATTATTTATATGTGTTATTCTATATGGAACATACAGCTAAATTTGAGTTATTGTTGTTTTAGTCAGAAACTGAAGTTGTTTATTTTACACTAAACTAGAATAATTGGGAAAAAATTCTAAATATGTATGTATGTTTAAAGATTTATTTATTTATTTGGAAGGCAGAGTTACAGAGAGCCAGAGAAAGAGAGAGAGGTCTTCATCTGCTGGTTCACTCCCCAAATGGCTGCAACAGCTGGAACTGGGCGGATCCAAAGCCAGGAGCCAAGAGCTTCCTTGGGGTCTCCCATATGGGTGCAGGGGCCCAAGGACTTGGGCCATCTCCTACTGCTTTCCCAGGCCATAGCAGAGAGCTGGATTGGAAGTGGAGCAACCAGGACTTGAACCGGCATCCATATGGGATACTGGCACTGCAGGTGGCAGATTTACCTACTCCTCCACAGGGCTGTTCCCCCCCTCCATGTGTTTTTAAGACATCTAATTCTCAATATTTATTAGAAATCAGATATTTTTCTGGTATCTTTCTCAATTTTGAAAATATTATTTTTTACTTTGGACTTTATTTTCATATATTAATTTCAATTAAATTCAGTTATCTTCCTATGATAATTTGTGTACTTATCACTAAATATGCTGTTTCTTCAAATAATAGTATAGAGTCTGGTAGGACATAAGTGTAGATATTAGAAAAGGTAAATTGTGTGTTCTCAAGTACCATAAATACACTCAATGTGGTAGAGCAGAAGCTCACTCATGCAGTTTTCAGAACAACCTTACAGCGTTCCCGCCTCTCTGCAGTGCACTGGCTTTCTTGATTCTCTCTAGGCTCTGGTTCTCTCTAGGATTTATTTATGGTAGGCCACATTGTGAGAGAGATGAAGTGGTTACTAAGGAATAGTTTAAAATGTTTTATTTGCGTATAATTTCTGTAAGTATAGAACATAAGTCACAGTAAACAATGAAGTTATGTTTTCTTTGTTGGAAATCTTGAGTCTTAGCAGCATAAGACATGTGAGGGCTTGACTAGCCTCTTCACAGCACTTGGAGCATGGTTGTGGACCTATGTGTTAAAGCTTCTTTAGCAGTCAGGCACATGCTCCACACACAGAAGTTGTGGAATCTTCAATAACTGAACCCTAAGACCCATGATAAGGAGAGTAGATGGAAAATACAAGGGGGACTTTTTAGTTCCGCACCTCCCACCCAGTGCAAGGGTGACTGTTTCCTGAAGCTGTACTTGTGTCAGCAGCTCGTGCATTTACCTTTTGGTGCTTGATAATTGCTAACGATGTTTACATATGCCTTGTAGGTGCCCTGATGTGAGTCTGCAAAAGCTGCCGGAACAGTGGTTATGGAATGTTTTGGAGGAAATTAAATGCAGTGATCCTTCCTCTAAACTCTGTGCCACAAGGCGCAGTGCTGGAATTCCTTTCTACATACAGGTACTTATCTATAGGACTGCAGTGGCTTGTTTCTTTGTCTTTTGATGGTAGTGTATTCTGATCCACTTAACACATGAGTGCGCATATTGCATGAGGGACATTTCTGTCTTTTCAGTTCTCTGAGACTTTGTTTTGCTGCATGGACAGTGTGTTCCTGTGGCATTTCTGTTCTTGGAACAAACCCTCTAAGAGGTCAATCTTGTAATGTAAACAGAGGGTGGTATAATGAATAATTATACCGCTTATGTATTAAGTAGGGAGACATCACTATGATACATTCATCGCTCCCTTCCAGGAAGTGCATATGTTACATTTTCTTAAAAAAAAAAAAAAAAAAGTCTTTAGGGCTGGCAGTTTGGCATAGCAGGTGGATCCATAGCCTGTGATGCTGGCATCTCACTTGGGCGCCTGTTCAAATCCCTGCTGTTCTACTTCCAGTCCAGCTCCCTGCTGATGCTCCTGGGAAAGCATTGGAAGATTGCTCAAGTATTTGGTACCCTGCCACTCCTGTGGGAGACCCGGATGGAGCTCTTGGCTCTTGGTCTTCATTTCAAGACCCTCAAAATTCTTCCTGTAGGCCACCAATGTTAACAGATTCCTTTGACTCCATCCAGAAGATAATCATAATCTCAGTAATAGTTAACATTTATTAGTGGTTATTTCACATATATTACTTTTTTCAATCCTTTCCCTAGCCCTGTGATATAGGTATTGTTAACATCCATATATCCTAGAAGAAGGAGCTAGAGCTCAGAACAGTTAAGTTGCTTTCCAGAGGCCATGGGTATGGTCAAAGCCAGGCTAAGACATGGGTGTAGGCAATCTGACTCCTGAGCCCCTCTTCCTATGAGAATATGTCTGAATTAGTGTGTTTTTCTTTGGACCATAGAAAGAAACACTGTGAGCCCTTGCTTTTTCTCATGGATCATTATACCTTAAAGATGGCTTCGTATTTGCACACTCAGATACTGCTATCAATTGGAAAATATTTATTTTCACAATGTAGAAATTATCACCTTCCCGAACCCAAAAAATAAAAAGCAGTACCCTCACAATATTTAATCTGTCCTGTCTCAAAAGGCCTTTGTTTAATACAGAGTAAAGTCTAGGAATGGTGGAGTATAATAAAAGTAACAAGAAGTGAAATTAAGGCTCTGTGTCGCTAGGGCTCCTATGTCGTTTCCTTCTTTCTCCTATTCCTCCCTCAAAATCCCAAAGTTCCTCCATGGTTATTTTGGTGACAGTGGGTGTGAGTTGCAGAGGTTTTCGACAGAGATCATCGGCTTCGTTTTTCTGGACAGATCTTAGTGACCTTCAGAAATCCCCTTCTCCCTCATCTGGCCCCTGCTGTATTGGTGTAGTTCTCTCTCCTGCTTGTAATTCATTCTGCCCTGGTGTTCATGCCTTCGTTGTCAATCTGGGGATGAGTGTAAAGGAAGGAGCAAGGTCTTGCTGCCTGTTTGTGCTGTGTGCTCATTGTACTCTGATGCTCAGCTAGTTCCAAGTACTGGTTTTAGGGACAGATGATCACGAGGTGTACTTTCTCACCTCAGCCTTGGCACGAGTGTCACAACTTTGCCTACTTCTTTGGGGAAAAAACCCGATCTTCCCCAGAAGGCATTTCAGTAATTGTGTGTAGCTTTCTTATTTAATTTGAATAAAGTCTAAAGGAAAATATGCTTAAAGAGAGTCCCTATTTCTCTTAGCATGATTTAGTAGTAAAGTTATATTGTTTGTTCTGGAAATCTCTGTTTAGCATTAATTGTGGAGAAATATTGCTTAACTTTTGAGTTGACTATTTATGTAGACAGATATAAAATTTTTAAATAGTCTTTCTGAGCATAAATGCACTGTGAGAAATCTCTTTTTTAAAGTTTAAATTACTTATTTGAAATAATAACAGAGGGAAAGAGAGAGATCTTCCATTGCTGGCTCTTTCCCCACATGCCTGCAACAGCCAAGTCTGGGCCAGACCAAAGCCAGACGCTAGGAACTCCATCTGGGTCTCCCATGTGCCTAGCAGGGACCCTAGTACTTAGGCCATCATCTGCTGCCTCCCAAGGTGCACATTATCAAGAAGCTGGATGGGAAGTGGAGGTGGGACTCCTCCAGGCATTCCTAGATGGGATGCGGGCCTGTGGCAACTTGTCCTGCAGCGCCATAACACCAGCCTCAGGAAATTTCTTTTAAACCTCACTATTTTGTGTGTGTATATCTTAATATTCCTCTTTTATGGATTATAAATGCTTCAGAAGAAGCTGAATAAGTTAAAACTGTCATACTTGGGAACCAGTAACTACATACTTATGAAGAGTAGGTGTAGAGGGAGTCTGAAAGTATGGCTAACCTGACTTTTAACAGTTTTTTTGAGATATAACTCACTGTACAATTTGTGCTTTTAACATGCACAGGTCAGTGGTTTTTAGTATATTCGCAGAGCTGCACAACCATCACCACAGTCTGATTTTAGAGCATCATCCCCCCAATCCTCTATCCCCATTAGCAGTTATGCCCCCTTTCTACTCCCAGCCCAAGACAACCACTGTTCTAGCTTCTCTCTTATAGATTTGTCTATTCTGGGTATTTCATACGAGTGGAATCATACAGTATGTGGTCTTTTGCATCTGGCTTCTTTTACTTCGCATCATGTTTTCAAGGTCCATTCTGTAGCATGTGTCAGTATTTCACTACTTTTTGTTGCCTCAAGTGGTTTGATTTCTTATTTTTGTTTATTGCCTGTTGGCAAAGTGTTAGAAACAAGGGGAATGAGCCGCTGCTTGAAAATTCAAATGTAGGAGCCCTGTAGAGCTTGTAGTATTTTCGTCTCCTGGAGTTTCCAGTGCTGTGATTGTGAGTTGATTAGTCCTCCAGGTATACTCTTCTGGAAAGAAGTAAAGAACTGATCAATCTCTAGGGAGCCTCAAAATTATTAGAAGAAATTTAATCCAGTTTTTTTTTTTTTTAAAGAAAAGAAATTTAGAGTGGAATAAATGTGTTACCAAACTGAGTTGCATATTGTGGTTAAGCCCTGCCACCTAATTGAAGTCCTTAAGGAACTGTCAATAAGAGTCATTTCTCAGACTCTTAGAGTTAGGTAATTAGCAAGCAAACTGGAAGTGATCTCAGGAATGATGGGATTTCGCCTTAATCTCATTTTACAGTGGTGGGCATTTGGTGCAACAGTTAAGATGCTGGATTTTCTTTCTCTTCTCTCTCTCTTTTTCATTCCCTCTCTCTCTCTTTCCTTTTTTATTTGAAAGGCAGAGATACAGATAGAAAAGGAGAGAGAGAAAGAGATCTTCCATCTGCTGGTTCAGGCCCCAAGTGACTGCAATGGCTGGGACTAGGCCAGGAGCTGGGACAAACCAGGAGCCAGGAGCTTCCTCTGGGTCTCCCACAGGAGTGCAGGGGACAAAGCACTTAAGCTCTCCTCTGCTGCTTTCCTGGGTACACTAGCAGGGAGCTGGATTGGAAGTGGAGCAGCTGAGACTAGAACCAGTGCTCTTGTGGGATGCTGACACTGTAGGCAGAGGCTTAATCTTCTGGAGCCACGGAGTCGCCCGTAAGGTGCTGTTTATGTGCCCACGTCCAGAATTGGAGTGCCTGAGTTTGAGTCCCAGCTCTGCTTCTGATTCCAGCTTCCTGCTCATGTGCATTCTGGGAGGCAGCAGGTGATGGCTCAAGAATTTGGGTCCCTGCCACCCACCCATGAGACCCAGATTGGGTCCTAGGCTCGTGAGTTTAGCATGGCCCAACTCTGGCTGTTCTCAGCATTTGGGGAGTAAGCCAGTGGATATGAGATATGTGTCTCTTTTCTGTCTCTCTGCCTTTCAAATTAAATAAATTAAATAAATAAATAAGTAAATAATTTTACAGGTAAAGAATCTGAGTGATGAAGAAGTTAAGCCACTTGCCCAAGGCCACGTGGCTCAACTTGCTTGCCTAGATAACCATTTTTGTAAAGGGGATTTTGCATTTGGGGATTGATTCAGGAGCATGGCAAATAGGTATATGTAAAATAAGAATCCCGTTAATTTTTGCCTTGTTTTTCCATAGGCGTTGTTGGCATCAGAACCAAAGAAAGGCAAAATGGATTTGTTGAAAATAACAATGAAGGAGTTAATCTCTTTGGCTGGGCCTACAGATGACTCACAGAGCACAATCCCCCAGGTAATAATGGAAATATACAAACCCTGCATGAAAGACAGTGTTTTTAAATCTTCACTGTATTTTTTAAAAATAATCTGCTAAAGATACAGAATTCTTGAAGATGGGCAGCTATTTGAAGTTTATATGGATACTTTTTTGGGTTATTCATCTTTCCTGTTCACAAAAGAAACCATTTCTTTAGTTGATATATTTTAATCTAATACACTATTTTTAACCTAGGATGAAAGCAGTCAACTTACCTAAAATATTTTATAATATTGCTACATCTAAAAGTTAGAAAATGAATATGTTATCACTTGGTTTTTTTGAGTTGGTGTCCTTTTTAACTTTTGGTCTATTCATATTTTAATTTTAGTTGGCATTTCCCTTTTTAGTCACTACTTGTATGTACAAAGTTGAATTAAACACTCCTTACAGCTCCACTCCATTGCTAGGTAGTAAATACCTATCAATTTCTTGTGCTTTGTAGTCTAGGCTTCCTCAGGAAATTCTTCACAGTAGGACCTTCCTATGCAACTGGGGGAGGCCATGTTCAGTCACAGAACTGATTGAGAACTGAAGTACAAGCAGTTTTATTTCAGCGCTGTGAGCGCTGTTGAAGGGAAGCCCAAGGGCCAGAATGGCGGCTATTGGCAAAGGAAGGGGTTCACAAGCATATGGCACGTAGTGGCCAGTGACTGTAAGATACAGAATTTCTTGATTTCCTTAAGAAATTTGACTAAACTGTTATCAGTCATCTTTCCTAAATGATCATTTCAAAAAATCTTCCGATGAAGTATGAAAAATATAATTGAATCCATTTTCTTTAACTGTCACTTTAAATATGTACTGTTTTATAAGACCATTTTAAAAAATGGAATTTGGCTTTAAGAAGTTCTGAATAATTATGGCTATACTCTGCCTCAAAGCAATTAATGCCATTCTGGTGATCATTTTTTTATGAAACAGTGAAATTTAAAAATTTTGTCTCTTGACTACTCTTTTAGGCTTTAGTTGTTAATTTACTTTTCTCCCCTCAACTCCCTGGTTTATTTTTTATTATTTTTATTTGTGTTTCTTTGAAACATTTCAGCATACAAAAATGTATAGTATCTAACAAACATCCTTGAAACCAATCCCAGTTTAAGAAATTAAACATTATAGGTAAAATTACACATACCCTGTGGATTTCTGCCAGCCTCATTCATCTTTCTTCCCCGAGCTGTAGCCACTACTGGAGTTAGTGTTGTCATTCCCATGTATTTTTTTTTTAAATGATTTATTTATATATTTGAAAGGCAGAGTTACAGAGTAAGAGAAGGAGAGACAGAGAGAAAGATCTTCCATCTGCTGGTTCACTCCTCAAATGGCTGCAGTTTGGGACAGGTGGAAGCCAGGAGCCAAGACTTTCTTCCTGGTCTCCTACATGAGTGCAGGGGTCATGGGACGTGGGCCATCCTCTGACGCTTTCCCAGATGCACTAGCAGGGAACTGGATCGGGACTAGAGCAGCCAGAACTCGAATTGGATGCCAGTGCTGCTGGCCATGTCATAACCCACTGCACCACAGCACTGGCCCCTCCCATTATTTCTGTCATACATTTATGTCCGCCTTTTACATCTGTAGTATCAAGTACTTATCTTTTTATAGTTTTAGATTTTTCAATAAGCATTATTTCTTAAGATTAGAAACTCTAGTTCACTTTGATTTCTTTACAAAATTGTTTCTTTGAGAGGCACACACAGAGAGTGAGGGCAAGACGGCTGCCGTTTTCTGGTTCATTCCTCAGATGCACATGATGGCCCTGGCCGAGCTGCATTTGAAGCCGGGAACCAGAAGCCCAATTACTTGATATTGCTGTGGCCTCCCAGGGTGTGCGTTACCAGGAAGCTGGAGACCGAAGGCCTATGTGTGATATCCGTCAAACCCAAGGACTCTAGCCTGGAATGTGAGCATCTCAGCTGCTAGGCCAAATGTCTGCCCTTCATTTTTTGTTCCTTTTCTGAACAGTGTTTCTTCGAGGGAGTGAACCAGTGGATGGGAGGAAGCACTCTCTACATTTCTCGGACTCTATCTGCCTTTAAATATTTTGTTTGAAAGTAAATAAATAAAAATTTTAAAAAGAATAGTATTTTTAAGAACATTCTTATAAATGGTGAGCATGTGTGTTTATTCTCTTGAATACACATGTAAGAGTGGCTGTTGGCTGTTATGATAGTCAAGTTACACTAGACTCAATAGAGTAAGTTTGGGAGTTTTCCTTCTCTGAACATCTTATATAAGATTGTTCTTTCACGGTGCAGGTGCTGTGGCTCACTTGGTTAATCCTCCGCCTGTGGTGCCAGCATCCCATATGTTATCTAGTCCTGGTTGCTCCTCTTCCAGTCCAGCTCTCTGCTGTGACCCAGGAGGGCAGTGGAGGATGGCACAAGTGCTTGGGCGCCTGCACCCTCATGGGAGACCAGGAAGAGGCTCCTGGCTCCTGGCTTCAGATCGGCGCAACGCTGGCAGTAGTGGCCATTTGGGGAGTGAACCAACAGAAGGAAGACCTTTCTCTCTGTCTCTCTCTCTCACTGTCTAACTCTACCTGTCAAATAATTAAAAAAATTAAAAAAAAAAAAAGATTGTTCTTTCAATGTTTGGAATTCATTGGTAAAATCATATGGATATGTTTATTATTTTTATGGTTAATTCATTGGATTTTTTTTTTTTTAGTGTCTAGGAGAATTAAAGATTTCTTTTTTTTATTTGAGAGACTTGAAGATGAGAGAGAATTCTCATCTGCTGATTCATTCCCCAAATGCCTGAAATGGCTGGGGCTGGGCTATGAGTGGAGCCAGGAGCCAGGAATATGATTCAGGTCTTCCACATGGGTGTCAGGTATCTCAGTACGTGAGCCGTCACTGCTGCCTCCCAGTGTCTATGTTGGTGGAAGGTTAGAGTCAGGAGCCAGAGCTGGACTCAAACCTAGCTACTCTGTCCTAGCACTTGGGCATCCCAGCTGGTAGCATAACCACTGGACCAAGCACTTGCCCCTCTCGTCTTATTTAATTTTCTTTCTCTCAGTTTTTTCTTCTATCATCTTCATTGGACACTTAGCACATTCGTTTTCAGTGATTTTTTTTTTTAAGTTTATTTGACAGGTCGAGTTATAGACAGAGAGAGAGAGAGAGACAGAGAGAAAGGTCTTCCTTCCGTTGGTTTACTCTCCAAATGGCCGCTACTGCCGGCGCTGTACCGATCCGAAGCCAGGAGCCAGGTGCTTCCTCCTGGTCTCCCATGTGGGTGCAGGGCCCAAGGACTTGGGCCATCCTCCACTGCCCTCCCAGGCCACAGCAGAGAGCTGGACTGGAAGAGGAGCAACCAGGACAAAAACCTGGCACTCATATGGAATGCTGGTACCCCAGGTGGAGGATTAACCATGTGAGCCATGGCACCAGCCCATTTTCAGTGATTTTTATAAGTATCAGCATATAAGATCCTATAAATGTTAATGTGTACCAACTTTATTATTCAGCTCTAAGTTTTTTTTTTTTAATTTTCTTTGGCCGTTATTTTAAGATGTGTCAATTTTAGAAGCATTTAAAGCAATATTTATAACTTAATTCCATTGTGATCAGCACATGATATATTATCACTATTCTTTTGTTGAGACTTTGTGGCTAGATGAATAAAAAATACATATTTCATGTGTGCTTGAAAAGAATGTATTATTTGTTAGGTGCAGGATTCTACATATCTTCATTGTGTCAGGCTTTTTTATTGCATTGTTAAAGTCTAATTTTTTTAAAAAATTTTATTTATTTATTTGCGAGGCAGAGCTACAGAGAGAGGGATAGACAAAGAGAAAGGTCCTGCATCTGCAGGTTCACTCCCCAAATGGCCACAATAGCCAGAGCTGGGCTGATGCAAGTGCAGGTGCAAGGGACAAAGCACCTGGGCCGTGCTCCACTGCTTTCCCAGGCCATAAGAAGAGAACCAGATCAGAAGAGGAGCATCTGGGACACAAACCAGCGTCCATATAGGATACCGGTGCCATAGGCAGAGGCTCAGCCTACTATGCCACAACGCTGGCCCCCAAAGTCCAATTTTTAAAAAATGGATCTGTCAGTTTTGGGTGTTTTAAAAATTAAATCTGCTATTCCTTTTTTTTTTTTTTTTTGTATTGTCTCTTCTTGCCATTCAGTCATTTTTTTGTTTTCGGGCTGTGCTGTTGGGTATGTACAGATTTAGAATTCTCATAATTTTCAACCTACAACTAATTTTCAGCTCTTTGTTCTAGGTTCATGCTTTAAACATCCTTAGAGCTTTGTTCAGAGATACACGACTGGGAGAAAATATTATTCCTTATGTTGCTGATGGAGCTAAAGCTGCAATTCTGGGCTTTACATCACCTGTCTGGGCAGTAAGTGCTTTTGTCATTTATTTTCATTGACAGAATTAAGCTTGTTGGTAGATTTTAGTAAACTATCCTTTCACTAGATGATAAATATATATATATATATATATGTACACACTGTGTATTATCAAGGAGGGTTTTTAAAAGATAAACCTTGGATATTTTTATGGTTTCATTTATGTTGTTTGTTGGCTTATTAGCCATTACTCTTTTTTTTATTTATTTATTTTAACTTTTATTTAATGAATATAAATTTCCAAAGTACAGCTTATGGATTACAATGGCTTCCCCCCCATAATGTCCCTCCCACCCGCAACCCTCCCCTTTCCCACTCCCTCTCCCCTTCCATTCACATCAAGATTCATTTTCGATTCCCTTAATAACAGAAGATCAGTTTAGCATACATTAAGTAAATATTTCAACAGTTTGCTCCCACACAGAAACATAAAGTGAAAAATACTGTTTGAGTACTAGTTATAGCATTAAATCTCAATGTACAGCACACTAAGGACAAAGATCCTACATGAGGAGTAAGTGCACAGTGACTCCTGTTGTTGACTTAACAAATTGACACTCTTGTTTATGGCATCAGTAATCACCCTAGGCTCTTGTCATGAGCTGCCAAGGCTATGGAAGCCCTCTGAGTTCACCGACTCTGATCATATTTAGACAAGGCCATGGTCAAAGTGGAAGTTCTCTCCTCCCTTCAGAGAAAGGTACCTCCTTCTTTGATGACCCATTCTTTCCACTGGGATCTCACTCGTGGAGATCTTTCATTTAGGTTTTTTTTTTTTTTTCCCCAGAGTGTCTTGGCTTTCCATACCTGAAATACTCTCATGGGCTTTTCAGCCGGATCCGCATGCCTTAAGGGCTGATTCTGAGGCCAGAGTGCTGTTTAGGACATCTGCCATTCTATGGGTCTGCTGTGTATCTCACTTCCCATGTTGGATCGTTCTCTCCCTTTTTTATTCTATCAGCTAGTATTTGCAGACACTATTCTTGTTTATGTGATCCCTTTGGTTGTTAGTCCTATCATTATGATCAATTGTGAACAGAAATTGATCACTGGGACTAGTGAGATGGCATTGGTACATGCCACCTTGATGGGATTGAATTGGAATCCCCTGGTATGTTTCTAACTCTACCATTTGAGGAAAGTCAGCTTGAGCATGTCCCTCTTGGTTTTTTTATTTTAGTGGTTGCTTTAGGGTTTATGGTAGATATTTTTAACTTATTTCAATCTACTCTTATATGATATTTCACCATGTCATTTAAAGTGTAGGAACATAATAACAGTGTACTTCTGTTTCTCTTCTCCCTTTATATTTTTATTGTTCTACATTTTACTTTTATGTATGTTGAAAACCCACACTACATTGTTATTTTTGTTTAAACAGTTACCTTTCTTTTCAGTTTACCATTTAAACCATTTGCAAGTATACCCAATTCGTGTACAATATTTCACCCACACTGGTACATTTTCAGGACTTTTTCATATCCTCAACAGGGCATTAACTCTCCATCTCCCACCCCCTCAACCCCTGGCAACCTCTGTTCTACTTTCTGTCTCTGAATTTGCCCGGTCTAATACTTCCTATAAGTGGAAATACAATATTTGTGCTTTTATTGGGTTATTTCACTTGTATAATGTTTTTAAGGTTTATCCACATTGTAGCATGTATCAGAATTTTTTTTTCAAGGCTGAATAATATTCTTTGTATATTTACTACATTTTTGTTTATCTTCTCATTTATTGATGGGTGTTAAAGTTGCGAATAGTACTATAGTGAATATTGATGTACACATGTGTGAGTTTCTGCTTTCAGTTTTTGTGGGTCTATCATAAGATAATTCTATGTCTAGCTTTTTGACGAACTGCCAACCTGTTTTCCACAGCAGCATTATATATGCTATCAGCAATGCACAGAAATGCCAGTTTCTAGACATCGTCACCAACATTTGTTGTTTTCCACTTTATTATAGTAGCCATTAAATTTTAAAATTTTAACTGACATATAACAGTTGTATATAATTATGGGGTGCCATGCAATGCATGTATATAATGTATGATAACAGCTATTTTAATGGGTACAAAGTGGTATCTCATTCTGGTTTTCATTTGCATTTCCCCACTGATGAGTGATGTTGATCTGGAAGCAGACAAATTCTTAGTTTCTCAGTGTGTTTTTTCTTTTGGATGCTATGGCTTCTGTGTATCAATGTGCTGAGTAAACACTATAAATATATTCTATCAGATGTTGAGAAAACAATACATACACTTAAAGGGAGAAATTAAACACTGATCACATTTTCTTTTGCAATATGATCACTGTCCAGAAGTCTTTGGATTCAAAACTCTAAAGATAGTGAATGTTACCCAGTACAATTGTTGAGTTTCAATAAGTAAACTTTTGTTTGTTTTTATCATGAGTCCTAGGAGAAATACCATGGTTCTTCAGTTTTCTTCTTGTGTCTTCTAGAATATAGAACTCATGTGGTTTGTAGATACTTGAAATTTGGCTTTTAAAAAGAAGCATGAAAGAGAGGAGAAGAGAAGCTAGGCCCTAATACATTACCTGCAGAGTGGAGTATTTACTAGAAAGGCCGCTTTCCAAGTAGTGAGCTGCACAAACTGATACCTGCATGATAAGCCTCTGATTGAGTCAGTGTGTTGCAGTGGTTGCCAAAGGCATGCAGTCTCCCAGTGCCAGGAGGGATCCTCAAGGTTGCCAACTCTTGCCTGGAAAATGGTGCATCTTCCTGTAAGACATACAGACTTCTGGAATTCTGTCTAGGAGCATTGCATAAGTGCTCTTGAGGACACTATTTACCTTTTGCATTACAGGAAGCAGAGACTACAGGAAGCAGAGAGGTAGGAATGTGTCTTGACCATCAGGACAGCTAGAGATCATAACACTGATCACCAGAAATAGCACTGTTTTCTTCAAACCATTGATTCCAGATGACCCAGGAAGTAATTTCTGTGAACGGGCTTTCAGAGAGTGAAACCTGGTGATTTTGTCAATGTCTTAGCAAAATCGAATATCAGAAATGAGTGATTCATTTTTTTGAGAAAAGCATTTTTGAGACCCTATGCAGTAACACCCGTGCACTACCTAAATTTTCAAAAGAAAGAAAAGCATATAAGAATAGTAAAAGTTACCTGTTAAACCACCATACAGATATATTATCCCGCTGGTGCATTTTCTTCCCCTTTTTCTGTGTGGCTTTTGTATGTGAATAGCACCCATGTGGACATCTATCCCCCAGAGGCTGCAAAAAAGTCCTTTTGTATAATTGTATTTCTTGAGATACTCCTGTGAGAGAATCTTTAGTTTCTGTTGAGGTTGTTTGTTTTACCAGAGAAAATAAACCTCATACTATAATGATCCATGCTGTTACTTTAATATATTGTTAGGCTTTCTTACCTATAAACCTAATCTAAGGAAGACCAAAATTATAAAGTAACATTTTACAAAAACAGTCTACCTTACCATTTTTATTGTAGTTGTTTAAAGAGTGTTTTCCTTAATACACATGAAGTATGTTTTGATCTGAAGACGTTTGGTTTATACACATCCTCTCAGGAATATGTCTGTGCCTGAAGTTGGCTGCATCTATACTTTTGAACTTGTAGTAAAGGAACAGTTTTCAGAAAACATTTATGTATATATTTAATTTGTTTTCAAGATTCCTCAATTTTTTTGTATTGAGACCATAGAGATCGCTCAATCTTTGCCACCTAATAGGTACTTTTAAAACAGAGGGAAAATGGAAAATTGTATTATTTTAAACGTATTAGGCATTAGGGACATCTACTATGTTGCAGATGATCTATTAAGCCCTCGAAATATAAGAATAAATAAGACATTGTATTTTTCATGTACCCGATATCGTTTACATTTTCTTAGTTCTGTTATCATTGTATCTATCATTTAAAAAAAATATTTATTTATTTCTCTGAAAGAGTTACAGAGAGAAGAGGAGGAGGGGGAGGAGGAGGAGGAGGAGGAGAGAGAGAGAGAATCTTCCATCTGCTGGTTTACTCCCCAAATAGCCTCAATGGCCAGAGCTGGGCTAGGCTGAAGCCAGGAGCCAGGGGCTTCTTTGGTCTCCCACATAGATGTAGAGGCCCAAGCTCTTGAGCAATCTTCTGCTGCTTTCTCAGGCCATTAGCAGGGAGCTGGATTGGAAGTGGAACAGCCGGGATACAAAGCGATGCCAGTATGGGATGCTGGCAGTTGTAAATGGTGGCTTAAACCACTGCAGCACAGCACTGGCCCCTATAATCCTCATTTTATAGATAAGGAAAACAAAGCTCAGAGAGGTGAAATAATTTTAAGGACACACAGCTATTATCTGTCAAATTCTAGAATATGTGCTATTGTAGAGGAAGGAAGGTTTTGCTGTTACAAGAATACAGAGAATGTCCACTTTATTTACCTTGTAGGGTTCTTTTCCTGTTTCCTTAGAAGACAAATGGAATTAGAACCTAGAACCTATGATTTTATTGAGTGATACCAACCTGGAGAAGCCAGAATGAAAGAAAACAAAAAAGAAATAAGGCAAGGAAAGAAGGAAGACATTACCAAGTGGGCCTTAGCCTTGCAGGAAGACTGAACTGATATCATGTCACATGGTACATCTTCCAGCCAGACCATGTGAATCTACCACCTCTTGGAACAACAGTCCTATCTCCCATCTCTCTCTCTCTCTCTCTTGTTAATGTTCACCCCTTGGGGCATTAACATAATCCGAACAGGAATTGGCACTACTACTGGGGAGCTACTAAGGAAGCTAGACACCATGTCCTGTGATGTGATATCTCGTCTGAATCTAGAGATTGCTGGATGAGTCAGAACCTCCATGGGTGTGGTTGGGACAGACATGGGGTTTGAAGCCCTGACTCCCACTGTTGCTGCAAAGCCCTGCATGAGAGAGTTTCCCAGCAGGGGAATGATGAGCTCTGACAGATGTGGTTAAAAGTGGAGACTGGATTGTAAGGT